GTTCTTAATCCTCTAAAACTCTAGAAAAATCTAATCCAAAAAAATGTAGGAATGATATCATGTGGGAACTCAAACCAAGAGAAAAAGATATCATGGGGGGAATGAAAGAAGAATTATTAAGTTATTGTTGCCAAGGAACTACTCCTTTTATGGTATCTTACCTCTGCATTGTATTCATGCTGCAGGAAAGAGATGATTATGCATTGGAGTTAGCGATGGGCGATGAATAAGAAATGTAGGGTATTGATTTTGGACCTAGGATTTGCCGAGTAAAATTTGCAGACTGTATATTTTTCCCTTCCGAGTACTGTGCGTTTCCATCTTCACTCCCGTGACAGTCTAGACTTTTATGCTCCTTTCTCTCCACTGAGTGTATATCCTAAGCTAAGTATGATTGTAGAGAAGCCTGGATAATGTTATTTCAACCCTCCCGGATGACCTCAATATGTAATCGACTCATATGCAATACAAACTACTTTTCTGATTAAAAGAATGGCATGGATAACTTGTCCAACATGTCTATCTACAATGACATAGCATGGAGAAAATTGAAATATCATGGCGCTAGTTTACTGATCAGCAATGAATTGATGTGAAAAGATTCAGTGGCCCATTTGCTGTGTATTTTTTCTCTGTTGTTTGGTACTTGTTACTAACAGGGCAGAATACATTATATTGGCTGTGACGAAATTTTACAGATTCCAGAAGATTTGGAGGGATTGTTAAACCCTCAGGAAAATTGGTGAAGAAAAGATCTAGCCGAAGAAACGCGGCATGATGTTGTGGCAGGCATCTTAAATCGATGATAACTTGTGAATTCTAGCTTGCCTTTGATCTCCCAATACATTTCTTGAAGTGTTACTCTTTGAGTTATCATTAATTTTCTGTTGCACGGCTAATATTCATGTAGATTGAATAGCTTATTAAACTAGAACTTGACTGTTGGTACTAGTGCATGTGATGCTTTGATCAAGCATGGCTGCGTGAGGGTGTTGATGGAATTTGATTGTGGTGCTAGGTATGTACTGGAAGTGAGGTGACAATTTGAGAAGCAGGAAGGGAGAAGAGTGAGTTGAATTCTCAGTACAGATGTGGTTTTTGGTGAAACGAGAAGGTAGTTCGATCGAAACCTAATTGGAAAAGGGGATGATAGGGGTTGGTTTTGAGTAGAAGAGTCATTCAGTTAGTGAAGAGGGGTTGGTAAGATTTTTCCCATGGCCGACTGAAAGTTTCAAGTTTTTATGAACCTTCTTTCAGTGTAACAAAAGCATTCCTTCTTTTTTCTTTCTATTCTTTTCATTGCCCTTGAATTTTAATTTCACAGTTCGTTTCAATTTTGTTATGAGTTACTAGACTTCTTTTTTCATTTGCACTGGTGCCAGGTGGTGGTGAGCATCATCCCCACAGCTAGGGCTAGAGTTCGAATCTCCTGTCCCCCTTCGACCTCCTTTTACCTAACCATCGAAAAATAATCAGTGTTTCAATTCCAAAAGAAAACCCAAGGTTGGCTGTGTTAAGATTCTGTGATCTTGGATTTTTCAAATCTCTTCATAAGGACTTCAAATTATTGAGGTATCAAAATACAGCTCCGACAGTGTGTTATTGTCATTCTCCATTGTGAGTTGACGTTTGGTGATGATGTTAATTTCATGTTCATGTTTCTGCAGTAGTACAACGGTCCTTCATTTCTTTCTTTGTTACTTTTGTTTGCTGGCTTAAATGCAAACATTAACTAATCATATACCAATTTTTGTATCTTCCACAAAGCCATATAAATGCCTCCGTCAGATCATTTTGGCACAATTCAAAATAGAGATTTTCTATTTAAACCCCACACTTCTCTTAGTTTACCCCAACTTTTAACTTAAATTTTCACAATTTCTAAGAAAACTCCATTATCTTCCTAAACTACTCTTAAATACACCCCAAATTGAAAAAAAATAAGAAATAAAAGAGATTTTCTATTTAAACCCCACAATTTTTCTTTGTTCACTCCAATACTTAAATCATTTAACAATATTTGTAGTATACATGAGATTTTGTTTGTGGTGAAAGTTTGAAGCAAAAGTATGTGCTAGACATCAGTTTAAGGATAGAAGGGGACAAGCCACGACTAATCTTTCTCTTCAAACCTTGGAAACAATCATTGGATCTAAAGGATATCAAGTGTATACTTTCTACTGTGAGTTTCTGATCTCTGTTTTCTCTGATTGTTTGTTTCTGGTGTATGAAATTGCTCGTTATTAAGAGTGGTGGGGTGTGTGTATAGATGTACTAGGGTTAAGTATTAAGTTGGATGACATTTTTTGTCTTTTTACACAATAATAAAACTTACAACTTAATGATTTAAGTATTTGGGTAAATAAAGAGAAGTGCGGGGTTTAAATAGAAAATCTCTTTAAAATATCATTATCACTTATGTGTTTGATTCTCTCTTTTATTTATTTAAGTACCATGTGTAATTGAATTGCAATTGCGGTACATTGTTATTCTATTCCATACATGCATTATATTACAATTACTGAATGATTCCTGACCGTTGATATATTCGAACACGTCTGCATGAGCGACTGACTCTAGCATTGTTGTTTTATTAGGAACATTGAACTAATCCTATACTAGTTTTTGTTATCTTCCATAATGCCATATAGGATAAATGCTTCCATCAGATCATTTTGGCACTACTCAAAATATCATTATCACTCATGTGAGGGTGAGGGGGACTAAAGTCAGACAATTTAATCAAGGTTAGCTTTGCTACATATCCCTTTCATGTGTTTGATTCTCCCATCTTTTTTACCATTCAGAATTAAATTGCACATTGTTATTCTTACTATCCATGGCATGCATTGCACTATAATTACTTAGCGATTCCTGACCCTTTCATGCATTGCAGTATTATTGTTTTTCTGGGTACAATGCATGCTTTTGGCGAGCCTAGAATTACCCGGCCAGTGATATAGACGGTGGACACATTCATAATGAACCATGAGTGCAGGTACACAATTGGGTCCAGGGACCAATTGATTACTATGCTTTTAGTCCATCTGATATCTTGTTGTCCATTGATGGTATATGGTATCAACAAAGCAGTCAGCATACACATGGAATGAGCCACTTTGGTAGTACGTTTTTGAAAAGCACTTCTGAAAATGACTTGGGATAAAAGCATAAGGAATCAAATTTTAGCGTTTTGGAATAGAAGCAATGGCTGAAATTGTGTCCGCTGCAAGTCTCAAATAGCTTATCCACACAAAGATTAACTTCCAAATTTGATTTGGGGTTTCTTAAGCATGCACGGTAACTATATAATTCCTTGCTTATCAATGTTCCAAGATTGCCAACCGAAAAAAAAAAAAAAAAATCAAATCAAGTAAAAACTTTTATTTTGAATAGACAGGATAAAAGCAAAACAACCAACATAAATTGACAGCTGCAGTTAATGTCATTAACAATGGTTAAAAGTGGCCTTCCTTGTCTTTCACATGTGACACCGACACACATAAAGGAGGGAAGAGTTCAGAAAGATATTTTAGAACCAATGCTTGAAAAACAAAATCAATTAGGGTTAAATTTTGGACCTTTTTACAACTACGTGGGATGCAATTTTTTGAAGTTTGAACATTCTTCCCAAAGGTTTATTGGAGAGGTTCCAAGATTCTCACTTTAAGATGAAATACAAAACGTTCGATTCGATGTAGGATTTATCATGTTCTTATCGTGCCTTTTTAAGTGTGGTCAATTTCAACTAACATCTTTAAGTTTGAGCATTCAATACAAAATCAATGTTAAGATAAATTTCGAAAGTTCACTACTATTCTAAAAAAACTTAAGCTGTTAGGATTTGAGTCAGCAACTATAGACTCATTCTTCGCCTTACGCAGATCTCTCTCCATCATTAGAGCCCAATGCACCGATTTTATCTGATATTGAAAATACCACGTTACAATTAGGCTTCGAAGATATTGTATCCAAAATTAATTGGTAAGGAGTGGATCCAAAGTTTTTCATGATGTAAAGTTCAGAATGACAGATGATGTAGAAGGTTCGCTGGTGCTTACTTTATAAATAGAAATGGAAAAAGCTTTCTATACTATAATGCAATCATGCATTATTATTGTGATAGAAGGTTCACTGGTGCTCACTTTATAAATAGTACACAAAAAGTTGCATCAAATGAGCAGGACGTGATGGGGAAAAGCGCAGCAGTGGGGGACAGCAGAGAAGCTGGTCATAATATGTAATTGAATTTTGTAACGCCTTGAGCTCCCCCACCATATGTTTGCTTGCTGGATCTCACGAGCTCAAACTCAGATTTTCGGATTATTTCCAGACACAAAATACTCACATAATTCAAGTACTCAAGTCAAGCCAAACACAAGGATAGTGGGGGCTCACCAAACCCTACATATATTAGATTAGTCCAACCTACGTTGTACTGATTTGATTTGTTACAGCCATTGGATTGTGTTTGCATTAAATGCGAAGTCGCATTCAGGTTAACCATTATTGAATACATTGTGCAAATGTGGGTTAGGTCAATTGTTCAGGCGGTGAGTTAGACCCTTAGCACTTAAGTTCTAGTCATTCTCTCTGTAGATTAGATTAATTTCGAGTACTTTAAACTATCGCTGGTATAAAAAATTATAAATGAAAAATCACATTGTATTGTAGCATAAGTTTATCCAAAACTGATTCAACAAGCACTCGTGTTATTTAATAGATTGGTCAATTAACAAACCTTATTGTGGGAACTCGGAAGTCAAAATCATACATTAAAAGCCATACCTAAATTGATGAATGCTCACCTCAAATTTACTCTTGAAATATCTATTGGTCCCAAGTGGAACTTTCTTGGATCAAATTTTTGGGCATCTTCATTGACTGGCAAGCAATTATATTTCTAGATGAGAATTGACAATTCAAAACCAGAAGGGAGTTTGAGATAAAAGTTTATCATGTCAAAGCTAAGGAAAATGAAGTAAATCTTATCCAAAGACTTCCAAATTCACTCAAATTTTAGTAGTCTCTCTTCTCTTGTAGAATATTCTCATACATCCAATCTTGACATAACTACTTATTCATACAAGGATCACGCAAGAAAGAAAAGAAAAAAATCACTCTATACATGTGAGAAGCAGGACGTTCTGTTCTCACTGGGAGATGCAATCTTGGAGGAAAACTACTATGAGATGCAAAACCAAGGTTGTAGCATTGTAATAGCCAGCTTTATGTGGTGTATGATAATTTTTAGTTGTTGAATTTCTGTTCGGGAGTGCTCGTCAACACCTGAAAATGCCAATGAACATCACATTAACCAAAGAGGAATGCCAAAAGTCTCAAAACTTTCTATCAATGTAATGCACTATGCAGTAGTTTGTATAAATTCGGAAGTGAGCTAGGATCGAAACGATGACGCAATTTTTATGGTATCAGAAGGTGTTTAATCGAAAAAAAGGTGAAATAATTGGTGTTGCAACAGAAGCCCTGAACTTCTGTCCAAATTACTTTTATCTCATTTTGAACACACTTCAATTGATGTATAAAGCAACACAATAGAAACTCAGGACTTCAGCTAACATCCACTGAGTTAAAATGAATAATGTGCTCACCCCAACTGATGTGACAAAATTGCAAACCGCACATTTCACAGATCTTGCTCCATATTGATACATTAACAGCATCCTGCAGTTCCCACAATTGACATGCGCCACCTGATTTGCTGTCACAAATGCACATTTGATTCTTATGTCCAAACTTAATTGATTTCGGTTACCTTATAAGAAGCTTAATTGCTGTCACAAAAACACATATCATAAAGCTTTTTATCTGTCAATGATTTGATACCTTCCAAGGCTAGATTTACAGTGTGGCAGCAAGAACATTGTACACTCGTTGCTCCGCGGATATACATGAGTAGGGTGTGGCATCCTCCACAAACCAGCTGTGCCATTTCTGTGCCTGCTCAGAGTTACACAAAAATGTAACACATTCAGACTTTACCGAGTCTTACAGTCGAAAATTATATCGATTTCAAGAACTAAATGACAGCATAATCAAGCTGTATTAACATAAGCTAAGGGAATGTGTAGCAAGAAAAGAACATACCAGGAGGTGGCACAGCAGTGACTGCATTACAAACCGCACAACAGACAGAGGTGGCTCCAACAGGATAGAGTAAAAGGTTCCTACATCCAGAGCACACAAGTTGGCTCTGTGCACCTAAAGAACAAGTTACAAAATTTAATAAATTATTGATTTCGATTGGTAGATTATAAATGAATAATTTCATAACAATAAGGTAGCAGATTATATTTTTCATACAATCATAATCAGAGAGTAATTTTGTAAGAGAACTTTATTGTGTTTAGAGGAACAAAAAAAGAAGAAGAAGAAACAGAGGAGAAGGGAGGAAAAGAAAATTAAAACTAAAATCCTGTGACATTTGTGACATCAGTGTTGGAC